AGCTCAGGGTGACTTACCTTTTACCTCCCTTATCTTTTCAACCTCCTCTGTGACATTCTCCCTACAGACCTTAACTCTACCATTCCCTCAGCACACCATGCTGGCTCTTTGGTCAAGGACCTTCCAGACGCTGGAAATTTCAGCCTAGAAAGGTCCTGTTTGTCCCCAAGCTGCACTGAAATGCCACCTCTTTTGTGAAGCCATTACCTCTGGGCACTCCATACATACTTCTATTATAGCACCTCTCACCCGATACTTATTTTTTTAAATATATTTTTTATTGATTTCAGAGAGGAAAGGAGAGGGAGAGAGAGATAGAAACATCAATGATGAGAGAGAATCATTGATTGGCTGCCTCCTGCACACCCCACACTGGGAATTGAGCCCGAAACCCGGCCACGTGCCCTGACTGGGAATCTAACTGTGACCTCCTGGTTCATAGGTCAATGCTCAACCACTGATCCACACCAGCTGGGCTATACTCATTTTTCATATGCCTCCTTCCCTACTGGATTGAGCTCCTAGAATGTAGGGACCACATATCACTCTGTTTTGTATCTTGGCTTTTGACCCAGTGCTGGGTGCATCTCCAGTTTGCCATATATGTTCAATGAGTGACTGAGCAAATAATTGAATGAATGAAAAATTTACCGTGCCCCAGCCGGTTTGGCTCAGAGGATAGAGCTTTGGCCTGCAGACTAAAGGGTTCCGGGTTCAATTCTGGTCAAGGGCACATACCCAGGTTGCAGGCTCAACGCCTAGTAAGGGGCGTGCAGGAGGCAGCCGATCAATGATTCTCTCTCATTGATGTTTCTCTCTCTCCCTCTTCCTTCCTCTCTGAAATCAATAAAAATATTTTTTAAATATTTTAAAAATTAAAATAAATAAATAATTGACCATGATATGAGTCAGAATAAGAGCAGTAAGAAAGGTGCAACTGAACGGCTGCTTTAGGATGTTCAGAGGACTGAGTCATATTTATTGGGGACACCAAAAAAGACTGTGCAGAGAGGGGCGTTGGGGGCTGGGTGAAAAGGCGAAGGGACTAAGGAGTACAAACTGTATTTATAAGATAGTCACAGGATGCAAAGTACAGCACAAGGAATATAGTCAATAATATCGTATGCATGGGGCCAGGTGGGTACTTGAAACATTGGGGGAACCACTGTGTAAGGTGATCTAACCATGAATGTCTAGCCACTCTGCTTACATCTGAAATGGATAAAGAATAATACTTAATATAAACTGGAAAAAAAGAGAAATACATGCAAAAAAAAAAAAGATTGCATCATTGATTGCAATCTTTCAACTGAATCCTATACATTTGTTTGTGCCTTAATGCAAGATTCCCTGAGATCCAGGGATGGCCCACTCCTTTTCCAACTTCTACCTCAAAATGAAATTAGTTTTACCTTCCATCTCTGGTATCACATTAGAGCTTTAATTTGTTTTAGCTTTGCCTATAGTCATTTAGTTTCTTATAATAATTTATCTACTTATAAAAGACCTCTTATTTTTTTAAAAAAAGGATTTAAGTGGCGGCCTTAGAACTGATCATGTGTTCCTACTTTTGCTTCTTATATAGAAGGACCCAATACATGTTTGTTGGATGAAGTACAGGATTGCTCAGGCCCCAGTGGGAGTTTGAGTTGCTTGGCGAGCACTCATCTCCCTCGAGGACTCCTAGGTACTTGGCCAAAGCGCTCTCCCTACCCTGTGTGTTTGACTGCATTTCTTTCTTTAAAAAAAAAAATTATATATATATATATATTATTGATTTAACTGTGTGGGGCTGCATTTCTTTCCATTTTCAATTCATTGGGGTTGTACCTTGTTGCACACGGATCTTTTGAACTTAGAACACCGAAGGCCTGTGTTATCTTCACAGCTCAGCACCCGTGGTGCCGATATGCCCCAATGTGGTTAATGTTTACCGTCTCAACCACTGGCTGAACGAATAAACAAGCACACATCAATAGATGGCTCGGGTCTATGTAGTGACAGGTGCTCTGTTTCTGTAACTGGCGTCCTCTCAGGCACATGTTCGCCTCCTTCCCAAAAAGAGAGGGTTCACAGCACAGAAAAATCCAGCCCAAAGGCAGTTCCTGAGGGGCCCAATCAAAGAGCAAAGTCCACCCCCCCTCCGGAACTCTCCTGAGAGCCTCTTGTGTGCAGGACCCTGCACGGAACGTGGAACCCAATCTCTGGATTCCCAGGTCTGGGCTTGGCTTACCAGGCTATAATGGGATGTCTGTGTTTTCTGCAGGGTAAAGTGTTGCCTTCTAGCAGAATTATCCTTTTATCTATTGTCTTCTGCCTCCATCATAGACAGCGATGCTCGCTGCCCTTCTCTCTTCCTAATAGGTCCCTACACTTCCAAGCCATATGCAAAGGGCCGGACTTTCTCCATCCAGGCATGGACCTCGGGGTTTAAGCCCGTCGGTGTGTCCTATCCCACTGAGTCCAGTGACTGCTATAGGGATGGCCCACGACCTAAAACGATCCAATGAGAGTGACCTCAGGAGTCTGCAGGGCATGTAGGGACTCGGACTCTTCTCAGCCTGGCCAGTGGTGCGTCTTAGTTCTGCTGCTGCCTTAGTGGGAAGCCGGAAGCTGCCAGGAGCGAGGAGGGGTTGCATCACGTGGTGACAAAAGAATGAATCCACCAAGGAAGCAGAGCCGAGACCTGGAAACCTGTAGTTTGAGTCCTGGATCACATTGTACCTGATCTCTCATGAGCCAATACTTCCTCTTTATTGCTTAAGCTAGTTTGCAGTTGTTTTTATTTCATTTGGAACATTAAACTTCCTAGTTGGTACACCTTAGATTATAAACTATGTGACAGAAGATACTGTGTCTCTCTTGATCACGACAGCACCCACCCCCTGGCACATTAGTAGGCACACAATAAATGCGTGTTGAGTGAATACACATCACCCAGAAGGCGCACGTTCTATAGATCCCCTTTACCAACGTGGCTGCAAGGAACCTGGTGTTCTACAGGGAAGAGATGTGGCTCTAGAGGCCAGGATCTCACCCCAACTCAAGGCTTCTGCTAACCACCAGGAAGTCTCCCTCAAAATAGGTGGCGTCTCTGAGAAGGCCCCAAAGTAGCAGCCCCCCCACTTTCCTGCGAATCTTGAACTGAATTAGAAGTAAGATAGCAGTAAGCTAGATGAGGACCAAAAAGATCCTTTATTACTAGTAAAGCTTTTATTACTTATAAAAATAACCTTTATGACTAATAAAGCTGAGATGAGAGGACGTGGCTTATAGTATCAAGCTAACGAGCGTCTCAGTGCCCAGCCTCACAATTAGACAGACTTGGCCAGAATGGGCCTCCCCTTCTCACCCCGAGGCAGCAGTGTTGACTCCCAAGAAGAAAGAGAAGATGGTGGGAGGCACAGTTTCTCCTTCCAAGCTCATCAGTCACAGTAAACCACTTCCTCCCAGAGAAGGACGAGGGGGAGGAGAGAAGGCAGGAGTGGTATGCTAATTGGGCTCTTTCACAAGGAAGGAAGCAGCCAGAGTGGGAAGATGAGGTCTCCCCAACACACATCAAGGGTGCTTTGGTCAGGTCAGTTGATTCTGCCTTGTTTTCCATCTTAATGGCTTGTTTTTCAAAGGGTGGAATTTGCTGTCTAAAGTGTTCTCCATGGAATCACTGAACACACCACAGTAACATCGAGCTCCCAAAGGAGCTAGAAACCCTTTAAAATCATGCGAAATTCAAAGGAAGAAACAAGGATTCACGCTACACGTACACAACCAGGGGCAATAACCCTGGCGCTGGCCCATCACTCACGGAGCCCATCAAAGGCATTTCAAGAGCACTGAAGTCTCACACCTGTCCCTTTCTTTCCGGATGATCTCAGAGCCACACTGCACCCATTTAGTCACCAGGAGAGCACAGCCAGTTTAACTCCTTGGTGGCACAGGGACAGGGGAAATGGCACTTCACGGCCAATTCCAGGAAATGTAGGGCCACACTGGACAAGAAGTGTGTGACCATGTTCCCAATTTCCCCAACGTCAAGGCTGGGGCTAAGAGCATTTTTCAAAACAAATGGTCAGTGGAGCTGTCAGCCACACGCTTTTGGTTTTATTTACCTGGAACCTTTTTCCTGCTTCAGGTTTTTGAGTGTGTTTGTTTTCAAGGTAAACATTGACCATCCAGGCTTTAAGAGGCTTCCCCAAAAAGCCATTGTTTTGTAAATGTGACGTTTGGTGGGTAATGAATGACCAGATCAACTGGGCAATAATAACCCCACCCCCCAAATTAGCCAACAACACATTTAAAATTCAGTGGGTTTTACTGGAAACTGTGGTGTTGGCTATTTTTAAAATATATATATATATATATAGATTGATTTCAAAGAGAAAGGGTGAAGGAGAGAGCAATAGAAACATCAATGATGAGAGAGAATCATTGATTGGCTGCCTCCTGCATGCCCCACACTGGGGATCAAGCCCGTAACTTGGGCACATTAGCTGACTGGGAATCGAACCGTAACTTCCTGGTTCATAGCTCGACCCTCAACCACTGATCCACAGCAGCTGGACTGTTGGCTGTTTAATGTGACTCAAGCACAGTGTGAACCAGCATGCCTCGAACCCAGCATGGATCTCCTCTGGTCTGGCTGCTAAGACAGTGCCTTGAGCTTTGATCTTACCCTGAGCAGCTCCCTGGTGGACTTTTTGCTGGAAGCCACTAAGTAGACTTGGCTGGCCAGTCCTGGGAAAGATCCCAAGCTGACGATGGAAACCCACAACACAGCAGATGGGAGACAATGTGTTCCCATCCCGCTCTCCGCAAATGGAAAGCTATTTTCTCATCTATTACCTGCCCCTATTTTTACCATCAGGAGCTCTCCACGCCACTTGGGCTGTCAATATTTGGCAGTGAGTTTTGCAATGAACAACTGCTCAGAATCAATTCCGTGGAACGGCACAGGAACCACATCCAAAAACAGCAGATCCGGGGATTGCTCAGCTGCTTACCTGTCCTCCAATCCTTTTCTTGCCCTCACGTCATCGGCTGGAAGAACTGAAACTTGAGCCACGTCCTCCAATGCCAGTTCTGAGCACGTGGTAGATATTTGCGAAATTCTCTGATTGGTGATTGATGTGTACCTAGAGGGAATGAGCAGTCCGTGAGGAGTTGCTACGTAATTCACAATGAGGAGCGGGTTTTACTGCTGACTCATAACTCTCCTTTCTAATTTCAGAACAAAGTCCCCAGGGAGAGATTTGGGTAAGAAACTTGGCCTCGGGGAAAAGCCGCTAAAGTCTTCTCTAGGAGAAGCAAATAGGGAACTGGCTATCAGGAGGGCACATCTCCGTCTTTGCTGGTTTATCTTGCTCATCCACAGCACCAACCAGGGGCCCTCTGTGAAGCTGAATTCCCCCTCCTCCAAGCCAAGTGGAGACATAACCCAAGGCTTCTGCTCACACGCAGCATGGAAGGAGCCAGGCTGTCCTCTCACCGTGACCTCTCAGTGACATTCTCCAATACTGAAGTCTGTGGGGCCTCCAAGCACTTGAGCACCAGGAAGTACAGTAGGTTCTCCGGTTACCTCGGAGATCCGTTCCTACGACGGCGCGACGTGACACGATTTTCGCCGTCCGTCGGAACCCACCTACACAAGCACCTACGTCACCCACATGGAGCACAGACACAGCAGTACTGAAGTGAAACAGTGAAAAAATTTAAAAGAAAGATAACAATTCCTGACCTTTACTTGTGGTAAGTAAATAAGAAAAAACATAAAGCACTTATGTACATACGTCGACATAACGGAACTTTTTTCTTATAAATAAATGGGAGATGGCGAGGTAACCACAAAACAACAGACGTCGAGTGCGATGTAACCCGAGGACGGTCTGTATCTATTTAGAGACATCTGTCACTGGGGCAGCCTCAGTGGTTGTTTTCTTTTCCTCAGTTTCCTGATCTGGTGCGTTTGGGGCAAGAAGCCCTCCAAGGACAGCAACCTTGGAGCAGGTGCTTGTTCATGCAAGAGAGAGGGCGAGGGGGCAGCCGGCCGCAGCCCAGAGCTGTTCGAGCTCCGGGGAGCCCCAGGCTGCTCAGGCAGAGGTTCACGGGCTGCCTTCGCCTCGGGATTCCACATGGTGCTTCTTTAAATCGGCCTTAGCCGGGCGGCTATCACGGGGCCTAGTGTTCACAGCAGAGACCGAGATGACAGAACCAGGGCGATGCCACCCCTGCTTGCATACTGACCTGAGGGTCAATAACCATCCCCTGGGCCGGGGGGCAACTTTGGTTCTGTTTCCTCTGTGCAAACTGCCAGGATGCTCCGCCTGGAAGAGGTAGACCCGTTGGTCAGCTGTGGGGAAAAAACAGCCAGAGTTGCTATTTACACCCTGAAGTGCAAGCTGGGTAAAAATAGTGCTAGCAGCTTGGTCCAGCTTCAAACCCCACTGCAGGAAGAGGTTATTTTTGGAAGAGAAGATTTTCCTCCCCACCCACAGATCTGAAAATGGTCACGTCCCCGGAGGAGAAGAGGGGAGACACTCCCACGCAAAGGCCACAGCTATCCCCTTCTCCACACCCCTGCCCAGACTGGAAATGCCTTCCCCCGACAGCCAGGCCAGGCCCCAGCACAGACCTGCAGGTGGCCTAGTTCAAGGTACAGTGGGAATGGATGAACTCTGGCCACAGCGGGAGGAGGCAGATGTCCGAGCCTGGATGCCGCCACCATCCTGTTTATTATTACTGTTAAGCTATTTTGTTTGCCTTTCAAAACAGGAAGGAAAAAAAATGGCCAAGTGAGGACATGAGACCCCAAAACAACAGCTTAGCTGATCTACTGCTTGAGAGCCTGGAAATTAGTTTGGCTATAAATCAATATGGCTGTCACATGATGAACAAAATTCCCATAAGCCTGGTCCAGTTCCAGTTCTGTATTTGGGGCCTCCTGACAGCTGGGGCCTGAAGCTCTTACCTCGTGGACTTGGGGTCAGGGTCCTGGGATCTCTTTCAGGTTCCGGAAGTGACCCAGGCAACAGTCGGTTGCAGGACAGCCACTTCTTTCTTTTCAGTGAAAAGGTATTTTTAGATACATGTAAGTATGTCGACGATAATACTTGTGCAACTCTAGAGAGACATAGGCATGTAGATAGTTGCTGGGATATGTGAAAAACAGTGGAGAAAAAACACACCAGATTAATAGTGTTATTAAATGGCTCTATGGTCTGCAAGTGCCCAGGCACCCAGAGCTAAGCCCAGTATCTTCAGAAAGGAAGGGGGAAATACCCAAAATCCTACCTCCACCTGAGCCTCCCTCTTCAAAGATCCAGGAACCAAAACGGATCTTCTCCTTTGAGGGAAACATACCTAGGCGCAGCTAACCACCTAACAAACAGGGGGAGAAGATGGCCACGTATCACTCCCCAACTTCCCAGCAACACAGGCAGAGACCCTCATCCCCCTGACGTGGCTGTGAGCCCTGGATTAGCGACAAGAGGGAGGGCCGCTGGGTGTAGGTGGAAGAGACGGGAAAGACTGGACGGACCTGGGGCCCACAGGCAGCTTACAGCAGCCTGGCTTTTCCTCTGGCCTCTCACACAGGCCTGGGTTTTAGTCTGATCTTTGCAACCTCCTAGCTGTGCGACTAAGTCACATGACCTTTTAAAATCTCACTTTAACCTCGGAGAGAAGAGGTAAAAACAGTGCCCGGTACAGAGGGAGGGATGCTGTGAGCCCAGCGTCCAGGAGCAGTGCTGTTTTTCCTCCGGCACGTCATGGACCACGGGCCGGACTCTGCAATCTATCCTGCTTCTAGCTGCCAGATGACGGCAAGTCGACCAGATGACTAAAGTCTTAGTCCGTGAGAAATGCAGGGCATTTACAGGAAGGTACTGAGAACTTCCTCCCACGTTATTGGGCCTTGCTGCACCCTGCCCTTCACTCGCTGCGGACCTTCACCTCTCTGCTTCCACCCACTTCCCCTAGCCTTATCACGAAGCCAGAAATAGACTCTCCCTACTCAGAGGTCTCTGCCAACAGGGAGCTCTGGCCAGCGGCGGGCTGGGTCAGCACTGCTTCCCAGTGGAGGGAGCCCCTTTCCAAGTCTCATCAACCGATGACATCGTGTGGGGGAAGAGCTGCTGCTTTGCTGGGTCAGAGCTCTTTAAGCTGTTTGTTCTCAGGCTCTGAGACTCCCTGGGGACCTGGGAGAGACGGCTGTAGATCCCCTTGATTGGTCCTCTCCAGGTTTCTATTTCCCAAGCTGAGAAATCCAGATAGTGCTGACTCCAGCCCAGGAACAGAATGAGCTCAGGTCTGTCGCTCGCGGACCTCGCCTGGAGGATTGTAGGCCAAGGTGGCCAAGCTCGCTCTCCCCTCCAGCCTAAATCAGCTTGCTCCTGAGTCAGCTCTCTTCACCTTCCTATTAATAGCCACTGCTTTGGCTGGCTCCCCTCACAGTATGATTACAGTTTAATAATACATCTCAAATAAGGAAGCAGCAAACTTCCTGGAGCTGGGTTCCCGAGGGCCTCAGAGCGCATGTGCGGTCCAGAAGGCAGAGGCCGGGGCTGGCTTTCTGCAGCAGTGGCAGCTGGGGAGAGTTGGGGTGACTAAGTCGATGGCCTCTGAGACAAGTCACTGCTTTGGGGTTTCTGTCCTGCTGAGCTCTCCCTGGTTGAGGGCAGGAGACAAGCATGCAGGATCACTTTATGTTATTGGAGCTTTTATTACCACAGATAATCCTGGGCAAGGCTGAAAAAGTGTGTTCCTTATGCAAGAATGCAGATCCCACAGCTACCCTGGATGGAAGTTGTGGGCCAAGCTGGAGTTAGTCCCTGCCAAGGTCAACTTTTCTGTGACACTACAGTAACAAGGTGGCCTACTTAGAGAGGCTTGGGTTTCTAGATGGGACAGGCTGCCAAGAGCTAACTGTCCCATCCAGAAAAATTCAAGCCACCTCCCCTCCTCTGTCTCCCCAGTAGAAGCAGACACGCTAAACAATCCTTAGTGTTAGATTTATGCCGATAAGCAATGTCACCCTGTAATAGTTTCAGCATTCCTGTTCTTTGTGGGCCTGGATGGGGAAAACACTCACGTTCAGGAGCCAGAAACCCAGGTTCAAATTCTGATTCAGTCTCTTAGCTGAGAGGGCTAGTACATTTCCTACCTTTCTAGAACCTGGAGCCTCCATCTTCTCATGTATGTAAAAGACGTAATAATCTCTCCTGAAATGGTGCTAATATAAATTAGATGACACCAGTTTTGGAAAATATGCCTAGTATAGTGCCTGGAATATAGTAAATGCTCAATAAATGGTCCAGAAAATAAAAGGGAGGGAAATGTGAGTGCAAATTAAGGCTATCCAGGCCGCACTAGTGAAAAAAAAATGATAGCATCTCCAGGTGTGCAGAACTATGATATCAACATCTCTGATATAGTAAAGGCTGGTGGGAACATGTAGAACTTTGCTTCCCTTCTCTAGATTTCATTCCATTGAAAAGTCACAACAAGAGGCCAATCTGGACTGTAATGTGCTTTGCTAAGGCCACAGTGAGAAGTCTCCTAGGTCCATTTACCAGAAGTCTCACAGTTCATAAACCAGTATTGGCATTAAGAATAGGTGGGCTCAGCCAGTGTGGCTCAGTGGTTGAATGTCAACCCAATCACCAGGAGGTCGCCAGTTCAATTCCAGGTCAGGGCATATGCCTGGGTTGTGGGCTCATTTCCCAGTAGGGGGCATGCAGGAGGCAGCCAATGGATGTTTCTCTCTGATCAATGTTTCTCTTCCTTTCCTTTCCTCTCTCTCTAAAATAAAAAATATATATATATAAAATAGGTAGGCAGTGGGGTGGGAGGATTGAGCAAAAAAGAAAAACTCATGGATGTGGACAACAGTGTGGTAATTGTGGGGGTGGGGAGGATGGGTGGAGGTGGAAGAGGGGATGAATGGTGATGGAAAAAATTAAACTTAAAAAATAAATAAAAGATCGTGACTGCTGAACGGGGGCAAAAAAAAAGAGGAAGAATGGGTAGGCGAAGGTTAGGGAAGGGTATCCGTCTGTTCCACTACTGTGTGCTTATCTACATTTCAAGGTCCCCCGTAACAGGAGCAGGTCGGCCTGTCCTTAGGGTGAACCCCATCAGCAAGGCCAAAGGAGAAACCAAATATCACACATGCCCTGTATTCCAACCTGCTGAGAAGTAAGGTGCTCCCCAAACACCTGCTTATTCGATGGCAAAGAGTTGGGTCTCTTTAACCCAGCTGACTACCTCAAGTCTGGATGGGCTGTGGGGGAGGGTGGGGTGCCAAACTTTGTTCCTGCTACAGCTTGCTTCCTCCGTGGTTACCAACAGCAGGCACATATCTGATGGGAGCCAGCCAGCGCTCCTGGCAGCACAAAGTGGGGCAAGTCCCAGCATGACCTGCCCCCAACTGGGCACTGACTGGGGCTGGGGCTGAACTGACTTAGGCTCATGTTCATGAAAGTAGCCTCAAATTCCCCGCACCTCAGTAGGCAAAGGAGCAGGACTTCCCAGGACACCTCTTCGGGAATGGTCCTTATTTCCCCCTGGGACTTAACCTTGTTATTGACACTCCACATGATTGTATCTCTATGCGAATGTTGAGAGGGGTGAGCACACTGTGGTTCACTTACATGCAACAGAGACCACCCCATTTAAGCATCAGTCACCTGACACCACTCACTCCTTCAGTCACTGAACAAATACTTTTTGAACATGTATTCACACCAGTACAGTGCTGGGCTCTGAATTGCTGAATCAAACAAAGATGGTCTCTGCCCTAGGAGGAGTCAGCCAATGAATATGACAATTAATATGTAATCGCATATTGTGAGAAATGCAAGTAGGGGAGTAGAGAATGTGGTGGTGGGGAAGGTGTCTGATGTAGATGAGAGGGTCAGGGAGGTGACATTTAAGGACTTGGGGGGGACTTTGGTGGCAGTTGCCCATGAAGGTCTCCCCTCACTGCTCTGCAAAGTTCCCTTCTCTCCTAATGCAAAGCTTTGTGAACCTGGAGAAGAAATATATCCTCCAAGAAGGACTTCTTGTGGTTATCTGGGCCCAAATTCATAAACAGAGTCTAGCAGCCATTGTGTGCGTTGGAAGCTGCTTGCGCACACACCCTTCATTTCAGGGGAAAGCCACAGATTGAGCTTTCAGCCTCCTGCCATCTGAGTCAACTATCATGAGGGAATTCCTGGTTTTGTCTTTCGACCAATGAACTGAGACTTGCCCTGCCCAATCAGAACTGTACAATTATAACCTCATTTGCATCTAAACTGACCAATCAGAACAGTATTGGTTTGAAACTTCATTTGCATAAAATTGGACCAATCAGAATGGGAGGTAACTTTATAAAAGGCTGCCTCCCCTGTGTTTCAGGAATGCACTCTTGGTATTTCACTAGCTGCATTTTCCCATTTGCAAACTGTTCACCTGAATGTAATATTCCCTTTTCCACACTTCAAATTGGGAATTTTTGTTAACAGCTCTAAGAAGAAGGAAAGGGTACCTCAGCCAGGGATGTTGTGAAGAAGATTCTGGGAGAAGAAGGGGGGATACAAGATCTTTCTTCCAAGTCTTCTTTTGTGGATATATTTACTTTTCTTTCCATTCTCCCCAACCCCCCACCCTCCACTCCCAGACACCCATCTGGACTCTGTCTAGGGCCTTTCTGGCACACTTGTTTCTCTACAAGCTCTTCCTTGTTCCTGTTCCCCAGCATGTTCTCGTCACTGTGAGGACATTGCCCTACCTGGCACAGCCCAGAGAAGCCCTTCATGGGCTCATAGTCTTTGAAAAGAGTTTTCTCCAAGGTCCCCCCAATCCTGCCCTTGAATCTCCAGAAGCCAATAGCTTTAACCTTCAGTAGATAAAAACTCACTATTCCTGCTAGGCCAGCAGGCTAATTATAGTGTCTTCTTTCTAGAACTCTTTATCTCAAGGTTGTTTTCCTAAATTAGCATTAGTGAGGTTGATATCAATGCCATCTACGCCCTGCTTTAAGGAGTTGGCCCTCTAGACACTTTGGAACCAGTCCAGGCATTAGAGACAGACAGACCTGGTTGGAATCACAGCTCCCACCTTTACCAACTTTGTGACCTTGGGCAAGTCAGGAGTCTCTCCTGGGCCCCGGGTTCCTTATAGGCAAGATGAGGAGGAGGATAATACCTAGTCTGCAGAGTTTGTGTAAGAATTAGCCAGGAGGGAGGCAAAATGATGGAATGTAATAGATACCCTGTAAATTGGAGTCTTTGCTATTATATCAGAGATAAATAACCTGACGAATTTTGGCAGTGCCTTTTAGGAAGGTGGATGATTGCTCTGTTAAGAATGGTGGCCAAGCCCGGGCGGTGTGGCTCAGTGGTTGAATGTTGACCCACGAACCAAGAGGTCACTGGGTTGAT